AAACATATCCTTTTTAGTATTAATAAAACTATATTCTATATATTAAATAAAACTATATTCTATCTTATCAAAACCCTAACATAAATTAAAATTTTGTTCAAAGACTATTGATTTCGGAAAATCACGTGACAGTTAAATCGATCCTACGCCCTGGCGTTTACCATAGTTTCCAAGAAGTTAGGTAATTTACCGAATGAAACAGAGGATATTTCGTCATCTAAAAATTCTTCAGGTGTTCCAGAAATAATGATAATAGCTGTAACAAGGTTAACAGTTAATCGGTTATATAGAAAATTTTAAGCGGTTCCGAAATGTCTTACCAGCTTATTTGGAATCAGTTTTAGTAGCTGAGCCATTACTTGTGTTACATATAAACTCAGAATACGTAACATCCTTCAAAATGTTACGCATGGCTGATTTTAAAATGTGGCAGTATCATTTTTGTATATGTATACTACGGATTCACGTCTGGAGTTATAACTCTATATCGCTCTATCGATATCTTTATATATGGAGAACATATATATAATGATAGTACACAACAAAATTTCAAATTTTGGAATTAAAAAATCTAGTAAAAAGAAGAGCAAAAATAAAAATAGCTTTTATGAATGCCAAATGGCGTCCCTTAGCGACACAAAGAAAAGGAAAAAGAAAAAAAAGGAAAAAAAAGGAAGAAAAGGAAAAAAAAGGAAAAAAAAGGAAAAAAAATAGTCCATAATAGCTCTAAATATTGTTCTAAATATAAATTAATAAATAAGAAGGAAATTTTGTATTTTACTCATCTCATAGGTATACCAGATACACAAATTCTATGAAAAGTGTAAAGATAAATTATTAATACTAGAATTAACTAGACAATAAGATTATTTTAGGTATAGTTCAACTTTAAAAGCTTATACAACATCAAAGGACTATAAAGGAGAATCGTTCATCCTAGTTCTTTTACAAAGTGCTGCCACTAGGTTTTGAAATGAACGAATTACTTAATATTCCGCTTTCAAAATTGACCGACGTGTCCTTCTATATATTATTAAAATTTATAAAGTATTATATAAGTTTTGATGTACAGTACCTGAATAAATGAATTTTTGTGTAAAGTCATTATAATATTTACCCAATCTTTGAAAAGTTGCTCAATTGGTCATATTCGACACAGAGTTTCTGGGACCTCTCTTTTTCGGTTTACTGAATGTGCAATCGAAAGTTTGGTTAACGCATCGTTCACACGATGGGTCATTGCTCGAATATTTGCATCTGACTTTTGACTTTTTACAAGGATCACAAGCGGCGGCGGCGTAGGTGCCTCTAGTCCGTTTGTTCGAATTGACGTTAGGTGACGAATTAAAAGGCGTCAAGATTGGTTGATTAAGGTTAAATGACGTCAAGCTTAGTTGATTACAAATCACGTTAGATGACGTCAAGTCGAGTTGATTGTAAAACACGTTAGATGACGTCAAGCCTGGTTGATTACCAATGCTTAGTGGATTAACAGTTCTTTGATAAGGGATAGTACTCAATTCACTTGCATCTATTTCCGGCATAGAAGGCAAGGAATTATTTATTGAATAAGTAAAGAGAGCAGTGGAGGATGATGATGAACGGTTTGCCGGTGATTGTTGATACCGCTGTCTTTGTACATGAGGCCACCTTTGTTCATATTTGTCGTTGGCAACAACCGCAATATTTTTATAGAATTGTTTCACAATTGCTAGTTCTTGCCCCCAAAACCGTGACATTTGATTTTTGGAATGAAATCCTCGTGAGCGAAGCTCTTTACAATAAATTTTGAAAGCTGTATAAGGATAGTCTCCATTTTGCGTTGAAACCAAGCTGCTAACGTCAATTGTAATTGTCGGAATGAAAGGAGGGATTAAAGATGGAGAAGATGGAGAACTATTAGTACTATATGACAGTTGATCAGTTTGAGAAGAGTAATGAGATGAATTTAAATCACCCATTTATTCATTTTATTTAAAATATAGTTATGAAAAAATTTTTCTCGATCAGTATGCTTTTATATATACAGTATTTTTTTTTTCATTGTGCTGTAAATGGAAAATTTTATAATGATTTTTCAGGAAGCAGGGAATTAAAAGGAAGTTGTCACACAGTCATTATAACCCCACTTTTGAAAATTGAGTTACGTTAACACGTGTATAACCCCACATTTGTCATTCATCAAAGAAAAAGTTAACGCCCAAGATACTATAAAAGAAGGAGGGTTTTGATAAGATAGAATATAGTTTTATTTAATATATAGAATATAGTTTTATTAATACTAAAAAGGATATGTTT